AACTTCCGCAGTGCTGCATCACAGACCCGTCTCATGCTGTCTTGCAACACGCAAGGCGAATGGGGAGCCCCCATAGCAGGAGACACGAGACGAAACAGACGATGTTTCCAAGCCAAACAAAAGGAAAAACTGTCGCGACGAGTGTGCCTCAGCATATAGAAGGCCGTTTGGACATCTAAAGTTGCTACATGAGGGAAGGATCGGAACAAAAGCAGTTGCGGTAAGGTACTGCGAAGCACCGCATCCTCTTCTCTCTTATTGCGAAATCCAGTACCGACCGCGCCCCGATACACCGAACCATTCAGAGCTGGCCTCAAAGGGGTCGTAGGACTACTGTCCCTTTCAACAGGAAAGTGACTCAGTATCCCAGTAACCTCCTCATACTCAGCCTCATCTACTTCTACCAAAATGCCTTTTGCAACATAAGAGTCGAAGACTTTACCATAAGATTCATACTGCCCCGACTTCTTGAGTCGAGCCGATAGAGCATCGTCTCGAGCTATGGCCTTACGGATGTCACCCCGAGAGGGCCTTGGAAGCCGTTTTATCCAAGGAACCTTATACGTAAACCTCAGAACTGACTGCTTCTCACCATTCTCATCAATATGGTTGTCATCTTTAGTGAATCCGATAAACAGAGAGTCGGACTCATCAGAATTACTAGTCAATGAAGCAGCGAGATCTACCGGTGATGGAGCAGACGATGATAAGTGAGAAATACTATCCCCCTCAAACAGAAATGTCTCCTCTATTCGTACTAGCAACTTCAAGCTCTTGGTTGCCAGCACAACGGCCGACCTCTTTCTCGGTCAAGCCAGCCTTGAGGAGAATCTTCTCCGGTGAAGCAAAAATCAACAATTGGAGCCGTCGTATAGCATCAAGTCCAAGTATAAGGGGGAAGGATAGACTCTTCACAGTAAGAAACCAAATGGGCTTTGTCAACTGAGGGGTAGTAACATCAAGCATCACAGCTTGCTTACAGACGAACTTCTCAGCGTTAGCAACCATAACACTTATATTAACATCACGACGATCAACGATGAAGGAATTCGGTAGTTTATTAAGCATATCGAATCGAATAAAGCTCCTACCAGCTCCAGTATCCACTAGTGCTCTGCAATCATAGCGACTGAAATGACTATTCCGAGGTGACAACTGTATGTCTGTGATCAACGGAGATGGGTTCGAAAGTTCATCAGTATACAAGGAGGTACCATGACAGAGAGTAGGATCAGTCAAAGCCGCACCATAAGGACTGTCAATTACAGTGTGCAACCAACTAGTGGAAACCGCATTAGCTACATCAAAGTTTTCCTCATCGTCTTCATTGGCTCCACGATCAGCTATCGGAGCCGCTTGTTCATCTGCCGGAAGTGCACGTTGCTCAGGAGATTCCTCAACACACGTCGCTGCCGAAGTAGTCGGAGATGGCTTCTTTTTAACGGACGCTTCCACAGCTGTTGGCTTCCTAGCCACAGCCTCAGCTCTCGAAGGGGAGCGGCACATAGCAGCAGTGTGCCCTGTTCCTCCACAACGCATACATGTGACCTTTTACAACCACCAATCTGCAATCGCTCTGTTATGCCCTGTTCGGCACAGCCTAGACATCGTACGAGAGATGAGCTGGGAGATC